ACTCCAAGTCAGAGCCAAGACTGACTGCCCCATATCTCCCTATATCCACCCCACAGCCCCCTGTAGCCTCATATCCCCCTATAATGCCCCTATGGCTCACCCACTGCCCCCTGTAGACGTATCCCCCTATAGCACGGGGTCACTTATCCTAATTAAGCTCATTAATTCCAGTTTGCACTCGATGCTCCTACACACCAATAACATCAGTGCAGGGAACCCCAAAGCTCATCACCCTTAATGGGGTCGGGAGGGGGATTGGGGTCAGCAGTGAGAGATGGGAGGAAGGGGTGGGATGGGAGAGTTGGGCAGAGCTGAATGGGGTGAGGATTTAGGGCGAGCAGAATTGGTTGGGGTGAGGGCTTAGGGTGAGCAGTGCTGGCTGGGATGAAGGTTTAGGACCAGCAGTGATCCCAAAATCCTAAAGTCCAAAGTGAGGTGAGCATTTATGGTTGGGGTGAGGGCTTAGGGTGAGGATTTAGGGTTGGCCAGTGCTGTTTGGGATGCAGGTTTAGGGTCAGCAGTGCTGGCTGGGACATGGATCTAGGATGGGAGTACTGGGTGGGATGAAGGTTTAGGGTCAGCAGTGTCAGTTGAAATGAGGATTTAGGTTTGGGCAGTTCCAGCTGGGATGAAGGCTGAAGGGTGAGCAGTGCTGGCTGGGATGAGGATTTGGGGTTGGTCGATGCTGCTGCCCAGCACCACCCACCTCCTCCTCCGTTTGCACTCATCGTACGGCACTGCCAGGAAGTAGCGGAGGTCGAAGAGCTCCATCAGGGGTCTGCAGGAAGAAATCGTTATTTCCTGGTCTTACCTTCCCCCCCAAAACCCCACAATCAACCTTCCTATTTCCCACACTGCCGACCAGCGCTGTCATTAAGGCACACTCCTGTAGGGCAGGCTCGTCAGCAGCCACCCCATGCGTCACATGGTTGACCCCCACCCCAAAACCTGCTATGGGGACTCGGTGGGGCACGCAGATACCAGGAATGGGTTTGAATTCCACGGGTTCCCCTGGCCCTCGAGCTCACCTGTAGTTGTAAAGCAGGAAGCCTTCGATGAGCAGAATGTGGGGCTCTTTGGAGGGAGGCTCTGTAGGGTCGGGAGTGACGTTCACCCCATGGGAACGGGCGAACTTGACCGGGTTCTCCATCCAGGCACGCACTGTGTTCACCATGGCCTCCATATCCAGGGAGTCCAGCACTGAGGGGTGGGTGGGAGAGAGGGTCCCCATCAAACGCCGCCACCCGCACGGGTTCGAAAGGTTAACGGACTATGACAGCGTTAAGAATTGAAAGGAAATGCTTAGGGAAAAACAACAGCAGGAAAAACAAAACAAACCAACAAAAAAACCCAACAAAGCAGCCCAACGAAAGAAGATACGTCACTGCATCCTACAGCCAGCACCGCTCTTACCGTCCCACTGCTTGAAGCCGTCCTCCCCGACTTCTATTTGGTCTTGGGGCTGAAATGCAGTGAGAAAACATTGCTGCAAAGCCAGTAGGATCGCTTCCCCCAAACCCAACAGCCTTTAATCACAGCCTTTCCCATCTCCCCCCCCCACCCCAAAAACCTCAGCAGTGCTCTGGGCTCCTCGGGGCCATTGGTGACAGAGGGCTGAGGTTGGCCACGCTGCAGCCATCCCAGCACTCGGGGGTTAGAAGCAGACATATAGGGCAGCATGCAAACTGGCCCCAGTGCTCCACCAGCCCATACTCCCCAATGATCCATCAACCCCAACGCTCCACTGGCCCCGTATTCCATTGGCCTCAGTGCTCCACTGGCCCCATAACCCGTTACTCCAATGCTCCCCTGACCCCAGTAGCTCCACTGGCCCCTATGCTCCACCGGCCCTATATTCCATTGACTCCAATGTTCCCCCATATTTCGTTGGCCTTCCGTGCACCACTGGTTCATGCTCAATAACTCCAAAGCTCCCCCGATAGCAGTGCTCCCCTGACCCCAGTACTTAATGGACCCCAATGCTCCATTGGCCCCATATTCCATTGGCCCCAATGCTCCACTGAGCTGTACTCCAACCCCCCAATACTCTGTTGGCCCCAGTGCTCCCCTGACCCTAATATTATAGCCAACCCCAATGCTCCTCTGGCCCCTATGTTCCATTAATCCCAACACTCCATTGCCACCCCCGTGCTCCATTGGCCCCATATCCTATTGACCCCAATGCCCCCCTGGCCCCATCTTCCATTGCCCCATACTCTGTTAACCCCAGTGCTCCACTAACCCCAACGCTCCCCTGGCCCCATATTCCATTGATCCCAGTGCTCCATTGGTCCCATCTTCTATTGGCCACCAATGCTCCACTGGCCACAATGCTCTATCAACCCCAGCACTCCACTGGCCTCAGTGCTCTATTAACCCCAATACTCCCCTGACCCCACATGCATTAATCCCAATGCTCTGTCAACCCCAACGCTACCCTGGCCCCAGTGCTCCATCAACTCTAATGCTCTCCTGGCCCCATATTCTATTGATCTCAATGCCCCATTGCCCCCAATGCTCCATAGTCCCATACTCCATTACCCCAGCACTCCATTGAACCCAAATTCCATTGGCCCCAATGCTCCACTGGCCCATGCTCTATTAACCCCAGTGATCCATCGGCCTCAGTACTCCCCTGGCCCCATATTCCATTGCCCCCAGTACTCCATCAACCCCAATGCTCCCCTGGCCCCATATCAATTGATCCCAATGCTCCATCAATCCCAGTGCTCCCCTGACCCCAAATTCCATTGGCCCCAATGCTCCATTGACCAGTGCTCTATTAACCCCAGCGCTCCACTGGCCTCAGTGCTCCATTAACCCCAATGCCCCTCTGACACCAATACTTAGTGGACCCCAGTGCTCCATTGGTCCTCTGGCCCCAAATTCCACTGCCCGCAGCGCTCCATTAATCCCATGCTCTCCCAGCCCCATACCCCATTGCCCCCAGTGCCCCACAGTCCCATACTCCATTACCCCAGTGTTCCATTGACCCCAAATTCCATCGGCCCCAATGCTCCGTTGACCCCAGCGCCCCACTGCCCTCAGTGCTCCATTAACCCCAATGCCCCTCTGACCCCCATACTTACTGGACCCCAATGCTCCATTAATCCCATGCTCTCCCAGCCCCACATCTCATTGCCCCCAATGCTCCATGGTCCCATACTCCATTCACCCCAAAACTCCATTGGCCCCAAATTCCCCTGGCCCCACATCCCATCGCTCCCCCTGCCCCCACCGCTCTCCCTGTCAGCAGCACGTGGGATCCCCGCGGCGCTCACCTTGAAGAAGTCATCCTGGTGCACGACGCAGCAGTTGGGCAGCGCCTTGACGATCCTGTTGGTCAGCGTGGTTTTGCCCCCGTTGGTGACGCTGGAGCGGAAAAAAAAAAACCAAACAAACCCCAAAAACCCCCAAACCTGGCGATTCGGACCCGCAAACGGCGGAACGCGAACCGGCACCGGGAAGCGCGCGCTCCACGTTCGAATTTCGCGCCGCGGCGGCGCGCGCTGAGCGCTGATTGGCTGTCGCCGCGAGCGCGGCCCGCCTCCCATCCCGGAAGTGTAACATTCCGAACGTCCGGCGCTTCCCGCGCGCGGGAGGGCGCTGCGGCGCTGAGAGGAGCGGGGCCGCCGCCATGTTGGGCGGGATGGAGGTGGGGGGCAGAGGGGTCTGCGCCGTGTCGGCTCCGATCACCCCGGGACAGTGCTCGTGTTGGCCCCGTACTGTGTGACCGACCCCGGCATGCCTCCCGTCCGCTGTGCAGCCCCATAGCCCGTCCGACCCCGTGTCTAAGCCCACCATCCTGTACCAGCTCCTATGTAACCTCAGGACTCCGTTCCATCCCCAATAAAACCCCATCCCATCCCCTATGTAACCCCACCATCCTGTACCATCCCCTATATAACCCCCATCCTATCCCCTATATAACCTCGGAACCCCTTCCCATCTCCTGTGCAACCCCTAGAATCCCAAACTGTCCCTTATATAGCTGTACAATCCCCTATGTAGCCCTATAATCCCCTATGTAACTGCAGAACCCCATCCCATTCCCTACACAACCCTCAGAACCCTGTCCTGTCCCCTATAGAGCCCCCAGAACCTCCTGTTGTCCCTTATAAAGCTCCCAGAACCCCATTCTGTCCCCTATATAGCCCCTATATAATCCAGGAACCCCGTCCCATCCCCTATATAACCATAGAATCCCACACAAGCCCCAGAACCCCATCCCCTCTATCACCCCATAACCCCCTCCTATTCCCTATATAACCCCCAGAACCCTGTCCTATCCCCTGTACAACCCCTAGAACCTTGTCCTATCCCCTATATAACTGCAGGACCTCTTCCTATCCCCTATATAACCCATGAGCCCTCTGTCAGCACTTATACAACCCCATAATGCCACACTATGCCCTATATAACCCAGGAACCCCATCCTATCCCCTAAATAACCCCAGAACTCCCTCTCATCCCCTATACAACCCCTAGAACCCCATCCCTATATCAGCCTTGAACCCTCTCCCTCCCCCTATACGCCCCCTAGCCCTGTCCCATCCCCTATGTAACAGCAGAGCCCCCTCCTATCCCCTATACAACCCAGGAACCCTCTCCCACCCCCTATATCACCCCATAACCCCCTCCATCCCCATACACCCCCTAACCCCGTCCCACTCTACCCACACTCACCCTCCGATCCCTATGATGTACTCCATAGCCGAGCTGTGCAGTGTGGGGAGGAAGAGGAGGAGAACCCCACAGTTTGTGGGGTTTTGCACAGAGGGGCCCTTTTCCCCCTCGGCTGCGCTGCGTTCCCGCTGGGCTCAGCCCCGCTCCGCTGTTCCATTGAAACAGAGGCGCTTTGCTGCGGGTTTATAGCACCCGGCGGCCGTTTCCCCGCCCCATAGCTGACACCCATCTGCCCCCAATGCCATATTTTGGGGCCGCACAGCCCAACCCTCCCCCCCCCCTCCGGCTGCTCCTCCCCCCTCCCCCCGGGCTCTGATCGCGGGGTCACGCGCGCACCTGTCGCTCTGCTGGCTATAATTAGCGCTCGGCGGCGATCCCTTTGCCTTAATTAGGAATGGGGCAGGTGGAAATGTCAACCCCCCTCCGTGGGGCTGAGCGAGGAAATCATTCTCCTTTTGCTTTCCCTTCTGCGGATCGCAGCTGCACCCGGATTCCCTGAAACCCCAACAAGGACAATGCAGAACGAGAGCGCCCTTCTGCTTCCTCTTTGCATTCCCGTATGTATAAATCCGTCCAAACCCGCTAAACCCATCGTCCCGCCCCCTGTTCACATCCTTAGGGAACCACTCGCAGCCTGGAGCTCGCTCTGCCCCGCAGACGCGGCGCCCGGTGGCTGCGCTGAGGGTTCCTCTCTGCGTTCCCCCACACATCCGTCAGATCCGGATGCCGCTGCTCAAATAAAGGACTGCCTCTGCAATGCAGGGCCTTTGATTTTAATTACGGCGATCATTTCAGATCCCAGAGACGCGCTGTGTGGGGCGGGCAGCGTTCTGATGGACGCAGTGATGGGAATTTGGAGCGTTGTTTCAAAGCAGCACGCGGCAGAGCTCCAGTCACCAAAGCACCGCGCGTTTCCTTCCTTCTGCTTATCAGCACAGCGCCTGACAGCGCTGGCGGCATTCCTGGCCATAAAGGGGGCTGTAATTAACGACCTAACGATGCAGCTGGTAAGTGCACCAACACACCTTGTGTCTCCCTTTCCCTACAGCCCCGTGCTGCAGCACCGATCCCTGCTCCCGTCCCGGTGCGGATGCCTGTTGTGTCTCCCATCCCATTAGCACCCCCAGCACGTGGCGCACACCAGCGATGCCTTTTTCTCCAGGCAGGGGATGGTGTGCCCTCATCATCAGTTCGTGTTCAGGGCTGCTTTGTGCAGAAAGCTTTGTGCCCTAAATAATCTCATTTGCACCTCAGATCTGGGCTGTGCCCCCCCAGCTGTGATCCAACCAAGCGTGGTCCTTCGCCCTGCAGACCCTGCAGGCTGCACTGTGCTCATCAGCCATGAGGTCAAGGTCTGGTGCTCCGTTAAGATGAGCCGACCACAAATTAACACAGGTTGCCAATGAGCAGAAAAACGTTAACCAGATTCTGGAACCTTGCAATGAAGGTGTTGGAGGCAACAGATGAGATTGTTTCAATGGAGACAGGCTATAGCAAATCTATGAATGGGGCTATATGACCCGACCCAACGCTGCATTGCTCTGTGTGCTGAGCACCCAGACCTCTGCATGTTCCCACTCCAGTTCTTATTGCCAGCATTAGCTCTGTGCTGACGTGTTTCTGGGGGCTCTCGTTGCCATTTTCCCATTGCAGCAACGTGATGGGATTGCTGCAGAGATGTGTGGAGCTGCGGTTCCTGAGGATGAATGGGAGGTGAGTGTTGGGAAATGGGATTTCCAGTGGCTGCAGTGGGGTCACCCAGCAGGTGCCCATCACAGTGGTTACAGTGGGTCGCCCATTGGTGCCTGTTGCCACTGCGCACTGAAAAGGAGTAGCAACAGTTGATCCCATCTTACAGTCCAGCCTCAGCTGAGCTCCGTGCAAACAGAAGTACATTTTCCTTCCTCTTTGCTGTGTCCCTTTCCTTGTCTGGTTAATGAACAAACAGTGCGTGGTGTTTATTAGTGTCGATTTCACCGTGTTTGACCTTAACGTGACCATAAAAACCTGCAGGTTTTTGCAGGTGGAGGGACACTGGGCTCAGCCACCTTTGGTCACCGTGGAACCAAATACATTTGGAACATGTCATCTTCTGTGCAGCTGAGAATTGCCCCCCACCCCACTGCCCCCAAACGGACGCCAACGAGAACAGCCGTCCTTCCTGGCAGCAGGGAGCCCTCCTGACCCATCGCGTGGCCATGCTGTCGCCACATGCTCACGAGTTCTTTTTTGAGCAGCTCTACGGCTGCGTGCCGGGTGAGTCACATGTCACTCAGTGGCACTTCCTTTTTCCGTGCTCATTTCTGTACAGAGCCGTTCGTGGTGACGCTTTGCCAACACAAACTGGGGGTGACAGCTGCGACCGCAGGCAGACGGCGATGCTCTCTGCTTTTAGAATGTGCCAGCTTGAGGTTGATGCTAGGAGAGGTTTGGCAGAGGGGACACCAGCATTCCTGGGGAGTGCCTCTGTGCCCCTGGGGCAGCTCAGCTCTGTGACAGGCACGGAGCTCTGCTGCAGGATGCATCAGTGATCCCAAAGCTTCCATTCAGACTTCAAGCTGTAAGGTGTTGCTTATGGGGTCAAGGTTAGGATCAGGGTCAGGATTATGGTTAGGATGTGAGCACTGTTATGTCAGGATTTCTGGATGCCTTCCTTGGAGGTAGTGTTGGGATGAGGCAGCACTGCAGCTAATAAAGAACTGAGGGATGGCAGTGTTTCCACCTGCAGATTTTTATGTTCTTGGTTTGCTCTGGGCTGTGCTGCGGAGCGTTTCTCCAAAGGTTGGGTGGCATCACATCTCAACAGTGCAAAACCCTTCGTACCCACTTGGAAGAATGGGAGGAACCTTGGAAAATTCTGAGCTGGAAGGAACCATCGTGATATTCGTGTCCAATTTCTACCTCCATACAGGACTGCCCTGAAAGAAGATAAGGAGCTCTATCAGCTGGTGGCAAAACCATGGGCTGGCAGGGTACCAAGCTTCTGTAGGATAACATTTGCTGGCACCTTGTCACAGAGCTGCCAACAGTGACATGTTCCGTGTCACTGCAGCTGATCCCACTGCTGCCCACGGTGGTGGGAGGGCTGTGAGCTGGGAGTGGGGACCAGTGGGAGGAAATGGGGACCTCTGGGTGTGCTGTGGGGTGTGGGGGGGCAGAATTGTTGGGGGAAGGGAAAGCGACGGGCACAGAAGGAATGGACTAAAGGCTGGTGTGAAAGGAACAGGGTGAGGCAATGTGTAGATGTCAGGCAAGATGATCATAGAGGTCTTTTCTGACATTATTGATTCTATAGGGCTGGGAGGGGAAGGAAAGCTGGAGCCTGAAGGCAGGCAGCTTGTTTTTGCAGAGCCCAATTAGGGATGTAGAAAAAAATTCCCAAAGTGTTGGGATCTGCAGCTGTCCTGTTCCCACACCCCATGGCCTTACTCTGAATGAAGCACACATCGATCCTGATGCTGCAGGACAGGGAGCTCTTTGGGGTTCAGTGCTCTGTGGGAGGAACCATGGGGTTGGTGGGAATGGCCATGGAGAGGAGTGGGGAATGGTTCTTTGTATCAGTGTGGTAATAACAGCAGGAATTCCACCTGCAGGAGCTGACAGAGCAGCTCTGTCCCCATTGGAACCTCACGTATTTCAGCCCATGTGTGACTCCACGATGGGCCAGAGCTGGGGGAGAGGGATCTGAATTCAGTTCTATCGGCAGATCTGGATCTTGTTTTTCTGAGACTGTTTTTGTTGCAGATGAACACACAAAAAGGAGCAACTGTCCTTCAATGGCAGTCAGTGCCCACGCAGAGCAGTGGTCCTCATGGGATGGTCACAAAGGTGGGAAAAGATTTCCAGGACCATCAGGTGCAACCCCAACCCATCCTTCAGCCGTGTCACAGCCCAATGGGAGCAAGGTCACCGAGGTTCCCTCGGCTGTATCACAACCCAACAGCATCAGGGTCACTGGGGCTCCTTCAGCCCTGTCACAGCCCACTGGGTTCAGCTGTGTCATGTTCTTTTCCTGAATATTTCAGTGATAATTCTATAGGATTAAGCTTGCACCCATCCATACTTCCAATTCCTCAGCTGAAATATCCCCAAATCCCATTTATAAAGCACTCAGATTGACATCTCAGATGTCTCACTGTAAATCCTCATGTTTATATACATAAGTATGACTCTATATAAGTGAGATTAATTAAAAATTGGAGGTGCACACCTTCTGTACCCATTGTTACAGACTGCAGCTCTGTCCTAAGGCAGAGATCCCTTTGGAGGGGCCATGTGCCACGTGGACAGGACAGAGGTCATTTTGGTGCAAGCACTCAGCTTCCAGTGCCACCACCCCTACCAGAGGGACAGACAGAAAGAGGGACGTGGGTTTTTTTCTTGAGGATTAGTCTTGTTTTTAATTGGGTATCCACAGATTCTGATGGGATCATACAAAGCCAAAAAAGAGCGGTACATACTGAGCAGCAATCTACCCTTCTAGCACAGCCCGTCCAATTACAAACACTTTAGAAAAAGGACATGTTTTTACATGTGGGTTTGTGTGAAAGGGGCCACTGCAAAGGAGAGAAAAACCCGGCGATCGATGGGCTCGTATCGCCATGTGCCTTAAAAACTCCCTTCCCCAGGGGCTGCAGAGGATCTGGGGTAGGAGCAGCGGTTCCACTGCTGTTGGGTCGATGTGAGCTCGTTGCTGCCACTGCTTCATCGGCTCCTTCCTTTTTCAGTGCCTGGATACGTTCAGGAGGAGATGTGTTGCTCTTCAAACCTGTGCTGCTTTGCTTTCCTCATCCACACGTCCGTCATCTCTCAGCAAAAGGGTCTTTGGAAGAAAGAGTTGGGAACAGTGCAGGTGAGGGGGGCTCTCTGCTCACGTCTGTGCAGTGCAGGGTGGTGTGAGTGCTCCCAGCGGAGCAGCAGCTTCTCAGCTTCATTCCCTGGGTCATTGCTGTGAACCAGAGAGCATCGCTGGGTGGTCCTGAATGGGAGCAGTTCCTAAATTGGCCCAAACGAAGCAGTTCAGCTGTGTAAATCCTCTGCCTGATGGAAAGCAGCGCATTTAGGAGCCCACATATCCTTAGAGATGTTTCTATGGGGCAGAAATGGGGCCTGGTCTGTATGGGGAACATCATCCTGGAGAACAATGGGGTGAAAAGGGATGCAGCTGATTCAGTTTCCTTCGGTAGGTGTGTCTACGTGCTGGCAAAGGGCTGAATGGAAATGTGCTTGCATTACCACATTTATTTTAGCACTGGAACAGGCTGCCCAGGGAGGTGGTGGAGTCTCCTGCTCTGGAGATGTTCAAGACCTGCCTGGATGCCGACCTGTGTGACCTGCTGTAGGGAACTGCTTTGGCAGGGGGTTGGACTCCATGAGCTCTGGAGGTCCCTTCCAACCCCTACAACTCTGTCATTCTGTGATTTCACTTCTTTATCTTCTGGTAGAGCAGATTTGCTCTGAGGATCTCCTACAATCTGCACTCCAGTGGAAACATCAGCACCAGACCTTCCGTACATTGATTCTGATCACAGCGCTCTATGAAACAGCAAAAAAATGTGTCTGCAGTCACTCTGGATTCCTCTTGGCCCCTTGTCAACTGCTTTACGGTCGGTGAGTCCCATCATCAGGGCTGGCAGCTCCGCATCACCAGTTCTCCATCACCTGTCCCCAATTTTTGTCCGCTGTCCTCCAGAGTTACCATCAACCTCTCACCTCTGTGACAGCAGGACGTGAATTTCTGACAGCATTTTCAGACAGGTGCAGCTCCTGTTGCACCCGTTTGCCCCTCTGCCCATCCCTTGGCCACCCCGTGGCAATGTGTTGAAGCCTGTGCTGCTCTACCAGCCCTAAAGCCATCAGCATTGCAGCGTAGTTAATTATGGGGCACTGCCAACCCCACTGCTGTGTCCTCAGCAAAGAGTTTTGCTGAGCATCTGAATTGCTCTCCGAAACAACAAGTCAGTGATACGTTTTTCGTTGCTACCAAAACTTTTCACATTTAGTTGTACCTGTATCCCATATGGGTTTGGCTGTACCCGTATCCATTGTGGATATGGGGCACCCGCACCCACTGTGGGCTGAGCTGAGCCCTCACCCATTGGGCTGTGCCCACACTGCTATGGGCTGAACGTTCTCTTCCGTGCTGAAAAGCTACACAGACGTCCATCCAGGAGCAGAAGACTGATGCAATCCAGACATCTTGTGAAAAATTAAAATGAGGTGCATCCCACGTGCTCCATCAGAAAGTGCCCTTTTGGAAAAAGAAGTTGTGAATGGACTCGTGTTTACACCACTTCTTATGCATCTCACAGTGAAGTCTGTGCATCCTCAGAGGGAACTCTCAGCCCAAAGGAATCTCCTGGAAACCCGGGACACATCATCTTCAGGCCTGCAGCTTTCTGAAGTCGTAGACCCAGAGTCTGTTCTTTGGAAAAGAATTGAAAAAGGAGGAAAAAAAACCCCACAAACCAACAACAAAACCCCAAACCGTGTCCTTAGGGGTCATGAAGTGCTGCATTTCAGGGACTGTGGGATGTCAGCACTGTGAAGTGGTCCCAGCACCACGCGTCCTCTACATTCCTCACTGCCCCGTGCTCTGTGGCAGCACGATTTCCCATTGTGTTTCAAACATTCTTCACTGGAGTTCTTAATAACTGCAGATGTCAGAAGGGGTTTGGGAGCTGAGCTTTGACGCTATCCAACATCCCACCCATGGGGCTGCTCACTCCACTCCCAACGTCCAATTGCACTCTTTTGTGAAAGCAGAGCAGTTCTGTTTTTTTTTTTTTTTTTTTTTTTTTTTTGTCTAAATGCATTAAAATGGTCCAAAACCACAGAAGGACAACCTCAGTGTTATCGACAGGAGATGGCAAATTCCCACCCTACTACAGGGAGATCCCCAGTGCTTATGGGATGATCTGAAGCCCACAGGATCTGGAGGGGCTGCCCCGATGTCGCAGTGCTGTTCAGTCCTTCTCTGCTGTGCAGAATTCCCCTTGCCAGTGGGGCCCATCATGATGCTCGCAGAAATCCACGGTTAATTTTGGATTGCTGTGGGTTGGGGTGGCTGGGTGTGGGACCCACAGGTCTCCATCCACGCTTGTTGGCGCAGGGCTCTGCCCTGTGTGCTGCGTGTGAGCTCGCTGTGACGAGAGCAGCATCTTCAAGTGCCTTCACCACGTCCTCATTTCCAACATGCTCTCCTCCCTTCTGCTCCCAGAGCCCTCCTGAGCCCTGGCACCAGGCAGCACAGTCCCACATCACATCCCAACTTTCTCCTCCATCCCTGCACGTGGATCTGTCTGTACCGAGGGGTCTGTGCTCCCCAGGACACACGGCGCGTTCCTGACCCTCGGCAGTGGGAATCCATCAAGGGAGCGGTGATGGAGGATTGTCCGAGGGCATGAAGCCAACACAGAGGCATAGGAAGCACTCCTGTCTGCAGGGCTCCTTCTGACCACCGTGTGTGACATGAGGAGAAGCTCACAGGGAGGCTCTGTGGGACCCTTCCCAAAGCTACCGGGGCCCTACGGAGGCAGAATGAGTATAGTAAAAACACAGCATCTACCCACAGCAGCGGCTCACTACGAGTTAATAAGAACTGGCAGCAGATGAACGGAGGTCAAGGCTGGGAGGAGCGGTGGGCACTTGGCATTTACAGGGGGAAAATAAAGGGATAGCAAGGGGGAAAATGGACTCTTTTCATTTCTTGCATTAGCGATCCCCTGGGGCAGCAGAGTGTCGCAGTGAGCTGGGACTGAAAAGAAGAACAGATCTGTCTGCGGGCAAGTGGACTGCGGGATGCTCTTTGCTCACTGCGAGGAGGTGGAGTCTCTGTTTGCTCCGAGCTCTCTGCAGACCATTGCTGGACACGATGGAACCCATCCTGAAAAAAAAAACGTGCTATCCTTGGAGATATTTCTTGTTGTCGTTGTTGTTGAAAAGTCAAATGTTTTCCAGAAGTTTGGAGGACTTTGCGTTGTGCAGAGAGGGGAGGCCCCGTGACCTTACAGAGCTCAGAGCTGGGCGGTGGAAAGGTCTTCTACCCAAAGGTCATTTCCAGGGGGGAGTGCTGGGCTGCGTCGCTCTCTGCTCCCTTTGTCCCGCGCTGCCTCGATTCATGGCATGCTGGGGAGGAACAGACAGACAGCGTGGGTTTGAGGTGGCAAATGGTGGTGCTTTGTTCTGGCTGTTGTCTCTGACAGCGCGGTCGCGTCTGGGGGGCAATCCTCCCCCGAATACCACGGGGTGGATGTGGCTGAGGGACACGGGCAGTGGGTGGGAGGTGGGCTGGGGGACCTGAGAGGTTTTTTTCCGGCCTTAATGGTTTTGTGGTTCTGCGATCAGGGCTGAAGAAACGCCACGCACAGCTCTGATGGGAAGGGCTCTCCTCTAAGGGCTTTCCCGAGGGCACATGAAGAGCTCACCGTGGCACTCTGACTGCATCCCATGGGCACCCATGGGTGCCCCATCCCCAGAGCAGCCCAGGGCCACGGGGCAGATGAGGGGCACCCATGGAGTGGGTGGAACTGGGACGTTTCCCCTCCAACCAAAGTAATGATTCTGGGATGACACACTTGTTGGAACTTTCCACGTTGCATACTACAAAAGCAACAAAACCCCATAGCAGAGGGGAGGCAGAAGGGAATGGTGGTCCAACCTGGTTTCTTGATCCTCTGCAGGGGGCACAGGCCTGCTGGGAAGAGAACCATGGATGCAGTTAGTGAATTTGCCCCTTGGCCCCGAGGGCCTGCGTGTTCCCATTGCTCAAATGGGTCCTGGCACATCTGACCCACAGCTCTGGGGAGGGAGCTGCTGAGAACAAAGCAGAGAGGCCAAAGCAGAGCTAACACCAGGCCAAGCGATCCTGGCTTTGGCTTTGGACACTGTCTTCCAAACCTTCCTAGAATTTTCCTTCCCATCTAATGTTACAGCCTTTGGGGGCACCCAAATGTGCCAGATAGCAGCATTTGGCCCTCTGCACTTTCCCACTGTGCAAGAGCTGAAACTGAACATTCCCAGTGCTGCTGGCTGTGCTCCATGACCAAGTGGCTCTGCCAGCTTATGGAGGTGACAAACAGGGCTGGGGATCCACGCACACAAATGAAGGTCAGCAGCAAAGCTGCAACAAAAGTAGGCCTTGCTGTGACCTCGTTCTCATGCCAAGAATGCCTCAGGTATTTTCTAAGTGAGGGATAAAGTCTAAGTGAGGGATAAATCATTACCTTTCCCTTTCAGCCATGTCTTGTTTCTCTTCTGCCCTGTAAGCAAGAAGTGCATTTGAAATCTATCATGTTTTGGGAGAGCAGAGAGTTTAAGGTCTTCCCGAGGAGGGCTGAGGACACTGCCCTGCTGTGCAGGAGTGGGACTGGGAAAGCTGGAGCTGAGTGGGGTGGGGGCTGCAGGGAGCAATGAGAGGTTCTGCATTAGAGGAGACGGGGGCAGAGTAATGCACAGAGAAAAAGGGCAGCAATTTCCCGAGTGAAGGAACCTGAGAGCAGTTCTACCTTTCTCTCCTGGCCTTGATCCTCTCTTCTTCAAATCTGCAACAAACAAGAAACACTTCTTCAGCATCACCCCGCTGACACCACTTGCTTTTAGCAAAACACAGTGTTTGCTCTCCATGCTTTGGCTCCGGGGTGGCAGGGAGCTGCCTGCACACCATTGCTTGGCACACACCGAGAAGCCAACGTCCACCCCAGGCTCTGTGCCCCCAGCGTGCAGCACTGGACCCAACACGACGTCCTTTGGACCCGACACAACATCCTTTGGATCCAACACGACGTCCTTTGGACCCAACACAACGTCCTTTGGACCCAACACGACGTCCTTTGGATCCAACACAACATCCTTTGGATCCAACACAACATCCTTTGGACCCAACACAACATCCTTTGGACCCAACACGACGTCCTTTGAACCCAACACAACGTCCTTTGAACCCAACACAACGTCCTTTGGACCCAACACAACGTCCTTTGGATCCAACACGACGTCCTTTGGACCCAACACGACGTCCTTTGGACCCAACACAACGTCCTTTGGATCCAACACGACGTCCTTTGGACCCAACACGACGTCCCCCTCCATCAGTGCCATGGTACTCACTGCGAGACGCAGTCTGGGATCTGGACGTGCTCCATGGGGATGAGCTGCTCCAGTTCCTCCAGGCTGTGAACGTATTGGATCTTATTGATGAACTTCACGCTGGCAGAAGAAGAGAAGGAGTGTGAGGCCTTGGTTTGCTTTTCTCTCTGCAGGAATTCTGGTGTTCCTGATGGGGGTGTGGAGCTCTGCTCCTCTGTGCCCATCTCCTCCTCCTCCCCTCCTCTCTGTGCTCCCTCCGCTGCGTGGTCTCACTTTGGGCACCGTTACCCAAAGCTGAGCGCAAGATTAATGCAATTCCCATTCTGAAACCATTCACATTTGGAAGTGCTTTACATTTACCTGATGAAGGGCCTGGAAATAGCCAGCACCGTCCGGATGAACCACGAGGGATGCACAATGATCAGAGCTTTGAGGTTCTTCCGCAGCCTGGAGGGAAACCATGGGATGGAACGTCAAACTTGAGAGCCGTTCTCAACCCCACTCTGATCTGTCAGTGCTTGGAAGCCTCCATGGTGCCGAGGAGCTGCACGTGGGGGCCTCCAACCCAAAGCCCATGGGCTCATGTGCACTGTGGGAGCACTGAGATGGCAGCTTGTAGGATGGCTGCCTACAGGTGTAGGATAGTCCCTACACAGATCTGAGTCAGGGGAGGAGGGAGGTGAGGGGATGAAGTCAACAAGATGTGACAGAGGGGAGAAGATTACAGAATCTGGAACTTGGCTGAGGCCAATGGGATGAGGTCCAACAACACCAAGCACTGGTCAGGTTCAGAGAGGGACAGTGGATCTGAGAAGGGTCTGGGACACAATGGGGACTTTGAGAGTGGTTTAGGGAATGGAATGGGTCAGTATGGAGAAGAGGAGGCTCAGGGGAGACCTGCAGCTCCTGAAAGGAGGTTGTGGCGAGGGGGGGTCGGCCTCTGCTCCAGGTAACAGCGATAGGATGAGGGGGGATGGCCTCACATTGCACCACAGGAGGGTCAGGCTGGGTATTAAGAGGAACTGAAACAGTGGTGAGGTGCTGGCACAGCTGCACAGGGAATGGGGGATCACCACTCCTGGAGGGGTTCAGAGCTGTAGAGAGGTGGCACTGAGGGACGTGGGCAGTGGGATGGGCCGGGGGTTGTGTAGGTCTCTTCCAACCTGAAGATTCCATGGAAGCAGTGAGAGATGTGGGAGGAGGGCAGGATCTCACCGTCTGTCTATCATCTGGTAGCACTTCTTCAGCCACCCCAGCCCCGGCATCCTCCTCCGCGGCGTCGCTCCATTCAGGTACACGATCATGTAGTCCTCAGCCACCAGCAGCTCCAGGCTGCTGATCACGTAGCTGCAGGATGGTCAGAAGCAACGGGGATGTGAGGCTCAGAGCAGGCACTGCAAGCTGCCTCCGTCATCCCAAAGGGACTCCGGGTCCCTCCTCTGCACACCAAACTCCCCCGGCACCACATTTCATAGAATCACAGAAAGGCCTGGGTTGAAAAGGCCCACAGTGCCCATCAGTTCCAACCCCTGCTGTGTGCAGGTCGCCAACCAGCAGCCCAGGCTGCCCAGAGCCACATCCAGCCTGGCCTCGAATGCCTGCAGGGCTGGGGCATCCACAGCCTCCTTGTGCATTTCCCAGGGGTTCCCCACGCTTGTTGGCACAGTGCACGCATCAGTAGATGTCTCTGCACTGTTTGCTGCCCAGAGCAGCAGCTACAAGCTGTTCAGTGCTCTGTGGCTATGCCCGAGTCCATCGCCAGCATAATTAACACGGAGTGTCTGAACACTCTGACTTATCAGCCTTGTTTGTGAGCACTGAGGACATCTCAACGCAGTGACGTTCCCCCCAGCTGCAGGCTGCAGACATTTGGCCCCAGTTCAAGCTCCTTCCAGCTGAGGTTCCAGATGCAATGAGCAAACAGCAGCCCTGGAGCCCAGGTTGCCTTCTCTCCATCCTCTCCCATCCACTTACAGGAAGAGGTTCTCCATGATATAGTGATAATCAGCCAGGTTGCTGTCTGGCAGGTAGCAGGCAGCGAAGACGATGATGGCATTGAGTCCTTCTCCGTAGTACCCTGGAAAAGAGGCACAGGCACCGTCAGCTGCTCCTTCCAGCAAAGATCTGTTGGTAAGTCTGGCTCTGCTCAGCTCTGGGGAAGCATTTGTCCCTGCGATGGACCTTTGTCACAGCTGAGTTCATCTCCAAGCTGGATTTTGTCTGTGACATGCATGAGGGGCTCAGGGAAGGAGGAAAAAAGGGCAGAGCAGAGAGTTCTGCCCCAGGTTTTTGCATGGCCACGCTCAAATGGCCCCCACCTATGGGTACCTTCACCTCTGGCTGTGCCCCAGAGAGGTCCAGAGGCATTTGGCACCTTTGGTCACTGCAGCATTGGGAATTGGTGGGAAGGCTCAGGGAGGTTCACACTGCCTCGGAGCCACACGTAGCACTGCTTGTGTTTATTGCAGCTCCCTGCTTCTGCCACGAGCAGCACAAAGCCCCCCGACTCGAAGGGGACAGCTGGCAGAGCCACGAGGGCAGCCAGCCCCCAAGGCATCCCCTCACCTCCGTGCGTCACCACCCTCATGTAGGGTTTGATCATCTGCAGGTCGATGCGGTGCTCCTGCTCCCCAATGATGACGGTCCTCCAGAGCCGCCCGTTGGTTGCGCTCCCATCCTCTGTCCCGCCGTCCCCAAACAGATCCGCGCTGTCCCCAGGCATGTTCTTGGCCGTGGCCACAGGAGTGTCATCTGGCAAAGGGACAAACCCTGCACATTACCCCAGGCTGAGGTCGGGCTGCAACCTGTGAGCTCTGAAAGCAGCGTTTCTAGCAGCGAGCGGTGCCGGAAGCGGTGAAAGTGAGGCCACCCTCACCAGTTCACCCAGAGCCATCCTCATACCTTCCCATTCCAGCTCGTTCCCATTCCCCAGGAATTCGAGGGAATCCGTCTCGTCGGGCGTTTCGATGTCATCCACGTTGATATCCAGATCATCCGGCGTGTCCAAGAAGTCATCGGACAGAATGGAGCCTTCACTCTGGTCCAGGGAAATGTTGATTTCAGGTGCGACAAGCGTCTTCCGCTTACGGTGCGCCCCGTTAAAGTTTAAGGTATGTGGGGGAGCTGGAGTCAAAAGGAAAACAAGGGACAGGTTGTCCTGGCCCTGCATCCTCAGTGCCAGCCGTGCTGAGTTTCTTCGTCCCGTTTCAGGTGATGCTTCAGGTGTGGTTGAATGGAAGCGTCGATGCTTTGAGATCCCAATTTCCCCCCCCCGGGTTTGTGTCAAAGATCCCCAAATTGAGATGTGGTTCCTCTCCTGATTGGGGGTTTTGGTGGAGCTGCCCTGTGGCCACCTGTGCTCTGTCACCCCATGGGGTTTGTGCTCCCCAGGGACCCCGGTAGGTGGGCTGGTACTTACAGGATGTGTGCTCGTCCTCTGTAGGGCTGCCCAGCGACTCCATGCCAGTCTCTTCTGGGAGAGGCCTGCAGGCAAGCAGGAAAGTTGGGAAATAAGGGATTTTTAGGAGAAAGTCACCCCATGGAGAGAAGTGGGGATGTGATGGAACAACACACAGCCCCGCGTGGGCTCTTCCCTTTGGGAGCATCAGCCTGGTGATGACTTGGGGTGCTCTGCCCAACAACTGCGCCATCCCAAGTAACTTCCAACCCGTCCCTCCAATGCTGCTCTAATCCAACTGTCCCACAGAAAGGATGGGAAATCTGAGCAGAAAATCAGAATGGAAAAGCGGAATGGAAGACTTGTATTGAAAATCTAGCCAGAGACACCAGAATGCGTTGTGTCCCTGGAAATGCTGGTGCCATCCTCCTATCCCAGAGTCTGACTTTGCTCCATCAGTGGCTCTGTTGGTGGTCAAGGTGAGGTTTAAACCTTAGCTATGAGCACAGTGTTCTTGGCCTCTGCAGCCACCAGTGGCGCCTGTGTTGAAAGCAGATCAATTTGGAGTGGAGATCCGGGCACCAGAACCCAAACCTGACCTGGGAGCTGAAGGCTGACCAACCACAGCTCTGCTCCCTGGGCTCCTGCAGCCCCGGGGTGAAAATGCTGGAAATGCCCATGGTTCAGCTCCCTTTCCCGATGCCAAGGCCAGGTCTCATCATGTGGCTGCTGTCCTTTGGAAGGTGGAGATGCTCCCAAGCCATAGAGGGGACAGATTCTGCACAGCTGGTGGCACTGAGCAGCGCTGTCACCCTGAGCTGGACACTTTCTGGACACTTTTCCCTTTGGTTTGGGTTGGAAATCGTGCCTTTCCCGGATGTTGGCTGGGGGAGACGTTTTGCAACCTTTTTATTGCATCATGGCCAAATCCCACTGACCCCATGGCGCCTTCGTGACACCAGTGGGTTCCCAAATCTCACCAACCCCATGGCACATTTGTGGTGTCAGTGGGTTCCCAAATCCCATTGACTCCATGGCACATTCATAGTGTCAATTGGTTTCCAAATCCCACTCACCCCAGGGAAAACTGATAATGTCAATGGGCTCCCAAATTCCACCGACCCCATGGCACCTTCATGGTGTCAATGGGTTCCCAAATCCCGCTGTCCCTACAGCACATTCCTAATGTCAGTGGGTTCCCAAATCCCACTGACCCCATGACAAATTGGTCCCCAAATGGTCAACGGGTCCCCAAATCCCACCAACCCCATGGCACACCCATAGTGTCAGTGGGTTTCCCAATCTCACTGACCCCATAGCACCTTCATGATGTCAATGGATTCCCAAACCCCATTGACCCCATAGCACCTTCATGGTGTCGATGGGTTCCCAAATCTCACTGACCCCATAGCACATTCATGATGTCAGTGGGTTCCCAAACCCCACTGGCCCCATGGTGTCACAGGGCTGTTTGAAGAAGGCCCTTCTGAGCCCTCCTTGTTCCCCCATTGCTGTTCCTCCCCTTGCTGGGAGCTCCCAGCAGCAGGGGATGAGCGTGGGGCCTGCAAGCTGAAATCCTGCATGCTGGGATGTCCCCAGGGAGAAACATGGGGGAAAAAAACCAAACATTTTTAATGCAGTGCTGGGAGAACGGGGATGGGACAGGGACAGATCCCACAGGGACGACTGCCGCCGTGTCAGCTGCAAGATGCTGCCCCAAATTAAAGCACGCACATCTTCGGAGGGAGGGCTAATCCTCCCCGAGCTGCTGTTGTTTATTCATGAGAGCCGATCAAAGCTCTCGCTCCCCCACGGGCGGCGAGCAAAGGCCCCGCAGCCCCCTGCGCACCCCCAGTCTCCCACCCCCCCTCCTGCTGTTGTCTCCGCGGCTGTTTATCCAACAAACGCGGCGCAACGCACGCTTTGGCCCCACGGCACCAAAAGGAGGGGAAAGGGGCAGCGCCATTTCCCAAGGAGCGGCAATCCCGATGTCAGACGCCAAGAGAAAAGGTCTCTTACCTTCCCGAGCGGGATGCGATCACCGCCCCTCGGCTCTGCCTCCCCCACACCGCGATTCCAGCAGCAGAACGGCTCTAAGGCTCCGGGAGGAGCACCAGACTGCTCTGCACTGCCCAACACCCGCAGCTCTGCATGGGATGCGATGGGTGCACGGCGAGCACGGCGAGCACAGAGAGCACGGCGAGCACAGCGAGCACAGCGAGCACAGCGAGCATGCTCCGACCCCACGGCAACACAGCATCACTGCATCACAGCATCATGGAATCATGGCATCACAGCACCATGGAATTAACAGAATCATGGAATCATGGCATAACTGCATCCCAGCATCATGGAAGCATGGAATCATGGCATCACAGCATTGGAATTCCACGATTCCATGATGCTGTTGGCTGTGCTCTTATGTGAACAGCACAAGAACGTCACAGCATCATGGCATCATGGCATTGTGGCATAACTGCATCAGAGCATCACAGCATCACAGAATCATGGAATCATGGCATCGCAGCATCACGGCGTTGTGGCAGCCACCATGCAGCCCACAGGAGGACCCTCTCCTCCCCACGTCCCACTCTATCAGCTGCAGCTCAGCACATTGGCATCACGCCTTGCACAGTGCCTGCATGGGGAGGGCTGGGGGCAGCTCTCAGGAAGGAGCTGTGTTCAGTGCCCAGCCTGGAGCTCGCTTAGGATGGAGGCATCGCTCCATTGCAGAAATCAGCTCCTGATTTCACCCCTCTGTGGCAGATCCTGCACTCGGGATCTGCTGCTGCCACCCTCATCCCTCGCCCTTGTCCCACATCCCTTGGCCTCTCCCCAGTTTGCATCCAGGAGCTGCATTGCTGGGTGAGCTTGCTGCTGCACGGCGAGGCGCAGCGCATCCCTCCTCCATCCGTGGGTTTTTATGGGGAGCATTGGCTGCACACCGTGCTGCTGCCCCACACTGCCCAGGCGACCAGCAGAGGTCTGCACGGCTCTCAGCAGGGAGAGAAACCTCCCCCAGAAACACAGGACCCTGCTGTGCCTCCATTCCCCTCTCTTTTTGGCACAGAGATGCTCCCACCAACGCCGCAGCTGCGCTCGGGTCGAACAGAGCGACGCTCATCCGCCGGCCCTGAAGGACACAAGGAGGGCTTTCAGGGCTGCACGTGCCATCCCACAGCGCACACTGCGCCTCTGTGCCACCGACACTGCCACCCTGTGGGTTCAGCTGCAGCTGGGAGGGGGCACAGCCTCCCCCAGAGCCCCCGGTCCGTGCTGCTGGAAGTGCGGGTGGAGGGGGGGGATGTCGCCTTAATGCCTCCGTCTGCTGGGCTGGAGGGATGTGGGGTCCCATAGGTGGCACCAGGTGACCTGGGGTACCCAGCGTGTCAAGGGAGAAGTGTCATAAGGTCCCAAAGGTGGCACCAGATAACATAGGGTCCCTATAATGGGGATGGGTGCTATAGGGTCCCATAGGTGGCACCAGGTGACGTGGGGTACCCAGCGTGTCAAGGGGAGGTGAGTGTCATGATGTCCCTAGGTGCCGTAGGTTGCCTGTTGTGCCAAGGGGACAGGTGCTATAAGGTCACATAGGCGTCATCAGGTGACGTGGGGTACTCATGAGATGGGTGCTGTAGGGTCCCATGGGTGACACCGGGTGCCATAGGGGACAGGTGACAGAGTTGGCGCCAGGTGACATGGGCGCTCACTGTGCCAAGGGGACTGGTGACACGGTGTCCCATGGGTGGCACCAGGTGACACGTGGCACCCAACATGTCAAGGGGAGGGGTGTCACCAGGTCCCATAGGTGGCACCATAGGGTGCCTGCTGTGCAAAGGGGATGGGTGCTATAGGGTCTCCTGGGTGGCACTGGATGCCATGGGTGCCCACTGTGCCCAGGGGATGCGTGCCATGGGGTCCCGTGGGATGCCAAGGGGACAGCTTCTGTAAGGACCCATAGGTGGCACCAGATGCGGACAGGTGACACAGGGCCAGATTCTGCCACTCGATCTTCGTGTCCCAACGGCTTTGGTTCCACTTTGCTCCATTTGGGAAGATGCTGCTCGATCCACAGAGCAGCAGGCAGAGCCCCCCTCCAACCTCCGGACTTCCATCCACAGCCATCCCTGCTGCTTCCCTACCTGGGGAAGTCCTCGTCCTGCCACTCCTCCTTCACATCCACATTCTCCATCCGCAGGGTGGCTTCTGTGGTTCCCATCACGCTCGGGAGGCGCTTCCCACAAGGAAGGGCTCAGTCTGGAAGGTGGAAGGGAGAGAGGTGAGTTCAGCCCTACGGGCAGTGGGTTCAGGGCAGGGGCGCTGACCCCACAGCCACAGAGAAGCGGAGGGGGTTGTGGGGTCTGCAGGAACACGGGGTGCTGTGGGGTTTTGTAGGATGAGAGAAAGCAGCATTAAATTGCGCCAGGAGAGGCAGAGGGTGGGAATTGGGAATAATTTCTTTGATGGAGCGCTCAGACATCGGCACAGGGAGTGCTGCCACCGTCCCCAGAGCCACAAAGGTGTGGGGACGTGGGCAGTGGCACAGCAGGATGGGGTTGGGTTGGGGTCTGGGGGGTCCTTTCTGAGCGGACCCCACGATTCTGTGGCCTCCCGAGATGCTTTGGATCAGAACAGAGGAGGTGAGGGCAGCCCTGGATCTACGCAGCAGCTGTATTTCCTCCATGCTGCGGTGCCCTGAGCTCTCCCTGCCCACTGATAACCACCCCCTCCCCCTTTGCATTTTCTTCCAGTACCAACCTCAACCTTCACAAGTTCTGCTGACCTGGATGGATGCTGATGGCTGTGCTTTGGCAAAGAAAGCCCCGAGCACCCCTGCCTGCCCCACTCCCCGTCCCCACACGTGTCCCTGTGCCTGGAGAGGAGCAGGAGAGGGTGAGGAGCTCCCAGGGCCGTGTGCTTCCCCAAAGGGGTCACTGCCAGCATCGCTCTTGGATGCACCACAGTCGAAAAACAGGAGCAGCTCAGACGGAGGTGTGTGGGATCGAGCAGTGCAGATCCACACCCAGGGCCTTGTTCTCATGGATGCCAACCCTGACAGCGCCTTCAGACTGTGTATAAATATATCTGCCACCCTTAGAAGGTTCCAGCAGGAGCTGAGCCTCCTCTCCTATTTCCCACCAGCCCATCCGTGCTGTGTGTGACCCCCCCCCCCCCGAGGCCCGGCCCCCCACTCAGCCCCACTCAGGGCAGATCCACAGCCCCCAACCCGGGGCTGCCGGGCGCTCAGGGCACTGCATGGAACGGGGGGGGGGGGGGGAAGGGAACGGTGGGCGCAGCACCGACCCCTCTCTGCAGCTCCCCCTGCGCGCAGCCCCAGTGCTGTCGGTGCTCCCGGCTGTGGGCAGCGCCCCGTAGATGTTATTACACCATATCTGTGGGGCGGGAGGCCGGCGCTGATTTCCCAGCCCGTCGCCCTTGAGGCTCTTTTCCTCTCGCCCGCAGGATCGGTGGGGGGAGGACGCCCGTGTGCGCACATCTGCTCCGAAGGAATGAAGCGGCGAAGGAACCGAGCAGGGCGCATCCCTCTCCGCACCTCTCCCTCTCCTCCCACCGCATCCCGTCCATTCGCGGCCCCATTTTGGCTCTCTCCGTTCCTACGGATCCCACATCGCCCCCCCCGCAGCTGTGCCCGCGGCCCCCGAAGCCCCCCGGAGGTGCCGTTCTCACTCACCGCCGCTGCGGTTAACGGGGATCGACGCCTCGCATCCCCCCCGGGATCGCCGCTCGGGGGATGCGGGGATGTGCGGGTGCATCCAGGTGGGTCCCCGCTGCAGGAGCCGCTCTGGGGCTGTCACTGGAGGGGAGCGGAGGGCTGCGCTTTGTATCCTTCCATGGCGGTTCCTTCTCCGCCTCCGGAGGTGTTTCGCTGTTTTCTTCGGCACTCTGAATTCAGCTCATTGCAGTGCTTTGTGTGCGGGGAGGATGGTGGCGGTGACAGAGAGGGGGTGTCGTAGGAGATGGGTGGAGAGAGGGAGCCCAAAGCAGCCCCCCGCCCCCCCCCCCCCCCCCTCCCCCCCCCCCCCCTTTGGGCTGCGAGGCACCAAATCTCTCCCAGCTCGTCCCCGGGGCGGCTGATGCTGCCGTGCCCATCGCCCATCGGATGCGGCCCCACGGGAGGTGTGGGGCTGGGTGACCCGGCCCTACGGGAGGTGTGGGGCTGGGGAGTCGGGGGGGTGGGTGGAAAGGGGGTGGAAGGGGAGGGGTGATAAGGAGAATGCGGTGATAAGGAGAAACGTGGTTCCAGCAAGCGAGAGCTTTGCTGCGTCAGATGCATCCTGCCTTGAGCCGATCTGCGCTCACACCGCGCGGTCTGACTTCTGGTGCCGAGCAAACGCGGCCAGCACAGCCCGCCGCGCAGCTCCCGTCGCTTCCAGGATGTCAGCAGCACCGTCGCCCCGAGGCCTTTGCGGATTCCTTTGCAAGAAGAGGCAGCGATTTCTGTCTGCTGCGGATTTGGGCTCAGATTGGCACCGTCTGCTCCCCGGGCTGCTGCACGGCGCTCCCTCCGGCTCCGAGCAGAGCATCGCCCCTGGGTCCCGCGCAGTGCAATCCTTGCACGCTGGCTGCAGCGCTCCCAGTGCTGGAAGCACGCTGACTTTTCCCTCGGATTCTTTGCAGAAACAATCTGCACTGCTTCTATTCCACGGACAGGCACTTTTCCCATCACCGCCGATGGCACGGTTGGTTTTTTGGGCAGCTGTTCCTTTGGCATTGCTGTGATGGAGATCAGACCTCGGAGGAATGCTGGGCTGCTCCCTGCTTACAGCCCCCAAGGCACGCAGGAGCCTTAGGGCTGCCTTGCTCAGATCCCCTTCTATACGTTCCTTTATGGCAGACAGAGGCCCACAGTGACTGACGGAGGTGCCAGGAGGTCCATAAAACCCAACAGCTCCAACGTTTCTCACCAACCCCAGCACTCTACAGTTAGCATTTGCCTCATACCTTCATTTTCACATCAGAAAGGCCATTCTTATGTCCCCAGGGCAGCTGTGACAGCATGCAGCTGTGTACAGCAGTGTACGAATGCCATCTACAGGCTGGGACGTGGGGCAGGGGTACCCGTGGGGCAGAGCTGTGCCACCCGCATTGCCCCAGCTCACCTTGCCAGGCCAAATATCTGCATTTTTAGGAGTCTGTTTTCTGTTGGTTGCACTGAGCTCGTTGTGCTGCAGTTGCTGGAGGAATTCTGCCCCTCTGAGAGCTGAGTGCCACTCCTGCAGTCCTGGGATGGGAGACAGTGGGATGCGCTGTGCGGGATGAGAGCCTGACCGCATTCTGAAGTGGCTCTTTTAGCACAGAGTGGGATTGTGAGGGTTGGAAAAGACCTCTCACCTCCCTGAACCCAACCTCTCACCTCCCTGAACCCAACGCCAGTCCATCCCACCGTGCCCACTGGCCACGTCCCCCTGTGCCGATCCCTGTGGCTCTCAGCGCCCCCAGGCACGGTGACCCCGCCGCTCCCTGGGCAGCTGTGCCAACACATCTCTGCTCTCTGAAGAAGTTGTTCCTCGTCCCCAACCCGGCCCTCCTCTGGTGCAATGTGAGGCCGTCACCCCTCATCCTATCGCTGCTACCTGGGAAATGAGGCCAACAAAAGGATGGTTCCCAATTTGGGCTTTGGGGTGGTGCCCACTTCAGGTTTGGTCCACGCCGGTCTCTCGATTGCTCCCCTTGCCTGGAATAACACATTCACACATTGCTTTTTCAGTCTCAGAGCCCCATGCAGGGGGGGAAGGGAAGGACGGTGTGCCCCTTTTGGGAAGAGCATCTCCCTTCCATTTCCCTGGCTGCGATGTCCGTGCTGGGCAGCAATGGGCACTTTGCAGTGCTCCGCAGCCTCCAGTTGATTTTCTGACACGTGTGAGCCAGCCTTGCTCAGAAACGCCGATGTTATTGCAGCAAATCCAGATGTCGTGCGCAGGCACACGATGATTTCGGCGTTACGGGGTTGGATTGGTGCTTTGGCTGCAGGAGATGCGCAGAACGGGCTGCAGGGGGCCCTCGGCGCCAGGAGATGCGCAGCTCGGGGATTGCTCGCGTCTCAGAATGTGTGCACACAGCCGTCTGGCAGTGCTTAGGGCATTGAAAACGTCTGTCTTTACGGGCAGGGAGCTGAAATATTTGGGGCTGGCAGAGCATCTTAGAGCTCAGCGCTCGGCGGTGGAGAACTCGGAGGTTCCACACTCAGAGATCTCTCTCCATTCACTCTCCTGTTCCCCGACCTCAACAGGTGGAGAGCACAGAGCCATGGAACGTTTGGAAGGGCCCTCCAAGGCCCTCCGGATCCAACCCCCAAACCACAGCCGCTGCCCAAAAGCCCAGATGGGAGCCACCCGTGACACATTTCCTCCTCTTTTTGACCACCACCACCTTTGCGGGATGCTGAGGGCGAGAGCCCGTTGTGTTTTGATGATCCCCAAGGATGGACAGCCCACATCCTCTCTGTACAACCAATTCCAGCTCTTCCAGTGAAGAGAAATAACAATTCTCCCACTCTGCTTAAAGGGAATTCATTTCAGTGCCCGGCCCGCTGCCTCTCCTCCATTCGCTGGGCACCACCAAGAATCTGTCTCCAATCACACAGAGCCGGCCTGTTGAAAATGAGATGAAACATTCGTTTATAAGGAGAAATAAAAGGTTATTTTGGTCCCTCTGAAATTATTTACAACTTCAGTTTTTGCGTTTAAAATGAAAAGAAAAAAAAAAAAAGAGTATTTTGAGGATGAAAAACTGCAGGCTTTGCTTGGATACGCTTGAAATTAAACTCCTTAAAAGTTTTATTGCGCTGTGACATTCTCCATTTGCAATTTGCCTGCCTTTAATTAACGAGGAGGGGACCGAAATTCATACATCTGAACACAAAGAGATGTATTTTTGGGACAGCCAACCATTTCCATTGCCTCTGCATGAAGAAAGAAAACGTTTTGCTGTGACGAATGGAAAGGTTTCGCTTTTCTGCTCTTTCTCCTTCATCCATCTGATCTTTAAGGGAAATCGATGGTTTGCACACATCTGGGCTCCACCTGCAGGGTCCAAGGGAGGGGATGGGGGAGGATTTCCAGGTTTGGGGGCTCAGGTGCTGTTGGGGGTTTGGTGATCCTGCAGTAGAGCCAAGCTGCCAAAGCAGCGCAGTCCTCCACTGCTCCTCTTTGCTGCTTCCTTCTCGCTCTGTGTTGTGCAAAACTGCTGCCTGTGGGTACGGATTGATGAACGAGAGTGGATCCTGAAAGGTGGGGCGTGGAAGGAACCCCTCATTGTGGTGGACAGCATCCCATGGCACGCAGACCCCAAGGGAAAAGGAAAGCGAGTGCCCAAACGTTCCTGGAAACCAGGAGCAGCACCATTCCCAACTGAGACTGTGATGGCAGCAGCTTTCCTGTGGCATTTGATGCTGGTCAGAAAGGATCTCCAGGATCCCCGACCCAAAGCCATCTTGCCGTGCCCACTGACCACATCCCCGTGGTTCTCAAACCCCTCTGTGGACGGTGACCCCCCCGCATCTCTCAGCAGTCGGTGCCAATGCATCACCACTCTTTTTGGAGAAGTTTTTCCCCGTATCCAAACTCAGCATTGTGTGGCCCAGCCTGCACTGCTTGGCGTGTTTTACATCTCCAAAACCGCACCATTTCACCCACACTCTCCTGCCTCCACACCTGCTGGGCTGGGCGGGATGTTCTTCATGTGAGTGCGAGCAGGATGCAGGCTTGGGAAGGTCCTTGTGGTTTTATCCCCTCCGTGATGAACCCGGCCCCTGTGGTCCTTTCTCCTCTGGTTTGAAATACGAGGCTGGTTTTGATCTTTTCCTTTGGTCCTGCAATCAGAACCGCTCAGCAGCAGAGAGACGTCACGGGTCAGCGGCAGAGAAAACGGATCTCCTCTCTCGTGCCCTTTGCGGAGGACAGAAGGTGATTCCAGTGGTTCGACTGGAGGGATTCGTGCAGAGGGATTTAATCTGCTTAGAATTATCCTCCCCACCCCAAGGGAGCCGCCGGTGATGGATTTGCAGGGTGAGCCCCGTGACATATTGTGTGCTGAGACAGCTTTGCACCTGCCCGCCTCTCGGATCCGTCTCCACTTCAAAGCAGGCGAGCTCTCCATCACCGGACGTCTCACGGTGCAAAGGGTGGCAGAACGGGGCAGAGGTTGTCTTTCTTTTCATCTTGATGTATTCATCAGTGCTGGCTACGTCCACACCTGCGTTTCGTACGGGTTGAGGTGCAGAGATTTGTTCCTGGGGCAGTGTTTGGCCTCAGCTTTGTCCCTTCCTAGAAAGGAACTGATGGGAATGAAGACATCAGGACCGGGGAACCAGGGAAGGCAATCTGGTTACGGGGCACGGCCTCATTGCACCACGGCCTTTCCAGTCACTGGTGCTGCTCTGTTTTTTGGAGGTTTGAGCTTGAGGCAGCAGGGCTCAGTTGTACCATGGGAGGAGAACGGGGGGAGATCGAAGGCTCCCTGTGATGTCTGTGCTGGATTCCTTCTGAAGATGTTGGGTTTGGGACCTCGTTGGGAAGCTGTTCCTGATGTGGCTCCTTGGAACCACCTGGAGCAACGTGAAAGCTTTCCCTTCGAGCTCCTTGAACTCCTATGGAATTTGGAGCTGGCACAGAAGGCTCTCACGTTTTATTACCTAGCAATAAACATTTATGATCTCTGCTACTCGCGGAGGAGCGCATCGCTGCAGCAGGTCTTCAGGTGGTGACAGCACTGGGATGGATTTTGCCATCAGTTCGGTGGGGAACATTTCGTGCGCGTGGATTCCCAGCCTGCTGACAGCTGACATCCAGATAAGGGCTGCCCCCATCAAACACCCCGTCACCTTGACATCCATGTGTGCAGGGTTAATGAGGGCTTTGCCTTGCCTCCACCTTCACGCCCGCTGATTAATTCCAGCCAGGTGTCGGCGGCCCAGG